AAATTAAACATATTAAATGCTGCAGCAAGTATTTACATGTATGTACCCAGAAAGTTTTTCTCCTTCCAATAAGGAAGGTGGTTGCTTTACAAATAGACACACAAACACAAATGCTTTGCTGCTTACAATTACAAACAACTCCAAGTCCAGAACTTAAAGTGACAGCACCTTTTGGGGGACTTCTTTCATGAACATTTACACAGTGCTAACTTTTTTCTTTTAGTTTTATTTTTGGACAATATTTATATTCCAATTGTCCTAGAACCTTGTGTTTAAACTGAACGATTTTTCTGGGCCTTTTCAGAAGATCCCAGTCCCTATGTCCTCTCTAAGGGAGAATACTTCAAGCTTATCTTTTCTCCAAGACAATCCTCAAAGGCAGCCCTCTTTTCTTTGAGGCAGATGTGATTTAGCAGAACTGAGAAAGAAAGAGGGTTAGTAGGTCTGCTCTACTGGCTGGCTGGTTGGGAAGGGGCCTTTCTCTTAAGCCCCCTCCACTGCAGCACTACTGATAGCTTTCATTACCTCTCACAGTGTCTGTGTATTGGTATTCTAGAGGAGCAAACTGAAATTTAATGAGTTTATTGTGCATAAGATTTTAATGATGTATTTAAAGCTAATTTATTCAGGTTTCACATCCTCGTTCCTGAGGCGAAACAAAACCAATTCTGTAAAGTTTATAATGTGAATATAATGTAAGAAAATCTTAAACGGCTTAGGAAGAGCTTGCTAGATCCTGGTTGCTAATGAGCTAGCTATTATAAGTTGCTCTAAATATCACAGTTGATAACTATTGATTTCTTTTGGATCATAATCTTGGAAAGGTATCAGAGTACCACTTAAAAGTATTAATTTTTTAATGAATGCTGACAATTTGGCTTATCCCCCCCTTCAGCTTGTGTTTAAATAGTTTCATTTTTTTTTTTAAAAATAGACCATTTATAAAGAAAAAATATATAAACACTTTTCAAGCCATTTTGGCTACATCACTGAAAAACTTCACAAGAAATAGTAAAATATTTTGAATGGACATACACTTCTTCATTTCCACACCATGATGAGCTAGATTATTTTTGATTTTTGCTTTTAAAATTCCTTTGTGTGTTTGTTTTGGTATTTGGATTTTACTGGTAAGTTTATTGCTTTTGCGTCTTCTTATTCTTCCTTAGATTACAATTGTAAAATGGAGGTGCTGTCCTTAATCGTGTTACAAGGCAACATTGTATTTTTGAGACCTAGGAATGAAATTGGTAAGGCCACTGTTACTTCAGTGGCCTCAGAGAGACTATGGCTAGGACAGGAGTCAAACGTGCACCACTATGCACAAAAGAATAAGTCTCCTGGCTTATTCAGGACACTTTGGTTTGGAGTACAAGATAGAAAATTCTTAAGAGTAGCTTAGCTGCTGCCTCACATCTGTGGCATAATATAACATTTTTTTTTTTAAACATGCTCTGAATAAGGGAATAAAGAGTATAAACCATACAGTGTACTGGCTCTTCTCCCTGGCAGTCTCATAGCAGGCATCAACTAGGCTGATGTAAGAAACAATCCTAGCTAGGCTACTCATGAATACACGCAAAGGTACCTGGTGTAAGTATTCTGCACAGTATCTTCAACGATGCAGCTCAGCGCCTTGAGGAAGGGTGGAGTTAAAAAGGGAGAGCGAAGGCAAGTTTGAGGACAGGGAGGAGGTTAGAAAGAGAACAAGAGAAATGGAAAGGGATTAAAAGAGCTAAAGTGCAATTTTGAAATATAAATTATTTTTAAAAGCAGAAAAGAGATTCTAAATGGCTACTGTTCGCATAGGCACGGTTTTATTCAAATTTAAATGGGTTGTTTCCTTTCCCTTCTCAGATATGCTGCATAATAGAGCTTGAATGGCTTAAAGCTACTGCATATTGTTTGGGAAGGGACAAAAAGCACTAAGGAAGCTGAATAGTGCAAGGCATTCTAGGAAATTGGGGTGGGGTGGAGAGAAGCAGAGGTGAAGTTTCTATACTTTTGTAAGAAAGCCATTCCAGTTATATTACTGATTCCCTTTAGCTGAACTCTGCTTCCTAAATGAAAGAGCTTGCTTTAAAAATAAAAAAAAAAAAACAGTTTAAAAAATCAATCAGAATGTAGATTAAAAAATAACTCACAGAGCAATACAAATCCTTACAATGTCTACGCACAGAGATCTACACAAGCATTTCCACCACGCGATGGAGAACAGCCACTTGAAACCCTGAAAATGAAACTACACCCTAGAGTAGTTTATTATGATCTAATACTTGGAAAGCAAGTCGATCCTACAGAAGAATACTGTTCATCAAATGGAATGTTTAAAAATAACATTTATTAATAAATATCTTATAAAATTCTAAATTAATAGATTCCTGTTCGAATTTTGCTTTGGTCCTTGAATTCCACTGTATACACACATACATACATATATATTTTCTTAGATGGTTTTTATTAACTAGAAAGAAGCACATTCTATCCTAACTGGATGGCTAGTTTTATAGCAATTACTGATGCTTAAAACTCCCCAAAGACTGGGTTTTTTTTGTTGTTGTTGTTCTGTTGTTGTTGTTTTGTTTTTAACCGCAGCTGGTTTATTATTTTCATGACAAACTCAGAACTAACACACTAAAATTCACTGACCTAGCAGGCAACAATCACCCGAACATTCATCATTGGTACCCCTCTATCAGAATACGCACTGTGTTTTATCCCACCGACTCCATAGACTTCAAAGAGCTTTAGCTCCAAGTAAGACATCCTAATTGTTCTAATGTATACTGGTGACAGTACGCAACTACCTGTCTCTCACAGGCTCTGTTAAGATGGTGACTTGCATACACTGCTAAAGGGGTAGGAGAGGGTGAGTAGGAGTGTGAAGGGAAACTAGCTGGCTTAACACCTGACTTTAAATTAGTACATTCATTCATGGCTGGGATTTTCACTGTATCTGTCCTGGCATCATAGATTGAGAAATAGGTTGGGGAGAAACAATTAAGCTGCGGACGCCGCCATGTAGGTGAGGGTGCACCTGGTAGACATGCGCTCAGGGGCTCCTCTAGAAAGTGTTAACTCCCATCACATAATGCAGGGGAGGTGCTGTAGACGTTCCCAGGTAGGCTGGCAGTGACTTCAGAGGGAGATCTGGCTGATAAAGAAAACCACCCATGGAGGAGAGGTGGGGTGGTAGGGACCATCTCTCCTTAGGATGGGTGCTCTGAAGACCATTACGACTGATGCACAGAAATACGGACGGGTGATCCAGTCATTGACTGGGAGAGGAGAAAGGGCTAGAAAGATGTTCTCCCAGACTGGCCAAAAGTGTAGCAGAAAGGAGGGATTTTCCAGCAGATTGATTATTCTGTGGTCTGGTGAAAGCAAGACCTCTAGGTGAAATTCTTTATACTGTATTGATAAGCCAAGTGTTGGATTTGACCAAGAAATCTCTCTATTAAAGATTTCAAAAAGCATTAACAAGTAGCTGGTATCTTTCATTTACCGTATTTCCATGCTGTGAATGAACATACCTAAAGGCCCTGAGTATAACAAGAAGACAGTTTATTCTAATTATATGTTGAGACCGGTTTGCTAACGTGTGTGGTTGGTTTGCCTACTTAGCATAAAAAACAGACATAATTGAGCTATATATAATGCACATCAGTCAAACTGTCAAGTTGCTGAATTAAGAAAACTCAGGCAAGTTCTTAACTGCAGAGGCTTTCAGTTTAACAACTAAATATTCTAATCAAGAGGTGGAACAGTAGTAAACTAAACCATAATTTTAGTGACAGGTCACTCCCTGGATATTCTGATATTACTAGTTGGATTTTTAAAAAGTCCATTTTAAGTGTTATGCATGCAGTAAAGAAAGAGAAGTTTTCATTTACTTAAAACAAAACATAAAACTAAAATTAAAAAATTAAAAATCCAAACAAAAGAAATTTAATGCTTTTTCTCTTTTGGGGGTGGTGAGGAGTTGCGGTTTGGAAAGGACACATTGATAGTTCTAGAAAGAAAACTTGAAAAAAACTACTTTTCATTTCGACACAGTGACACAAATATTAACTTTTTTTGAAGCTAAGTCTGAAAACATTTCTTAGGAAACCAGTTGCGTTAAACCATTCAGTTATTACTGTTGGAATTTAAAAAAAAAAGGAAAGAAAGAAAATAAAACTATATGAATTTAGTATTTAAAATACTTGAAAATTATATGTTTGTCTAAAATATAATAGAAAATCCTTTTCACTTGCTTTTTAAATTTTTTTTGTTAATTTTTACATTTTTAAGTTTTTTTCTTTTGTTTTCATTCTTAGACTATAAATCCAAGTCATAAGTTTCACTGGACACTCAAAACTGTCTTTTGAAAGTACTGCATACATGGAAAGACTGTTGATAAATACTGATTTAAAAAGTAAGTTATTTGATAAAACTGAGACTAGCTATAAAAATCAAGCTTCATGACCCTATTTTCTTTTTTTCTTCAAAATAGATCCTTACACTATAGTGAGAGAGAAAGAAAAAAAAAAACAAAAACACATCCTTTCCTTTTCTGAACTCTTATAAAAGTGACACCTTTTGGAAAATACTGTTCTTTTAAAACCCATGAACACACACACTTACACACACACATGTCAGGAGGTCAAGCATTCAAATGGAGATGAAACATCAGCACCTGCCTAGACTGCTGGAAACATTAGCCCCTGTTACTTGTGAGATGCGATATTCAAATGTTAGCACAGTGGGAAACAGCAGTTGGCGTAATGGCTATGTCACTAGACTCCCACGTAGTCGACCACGGTTCGCGTCCCGGACCCAGTGGCTTAAACCTCACGCCGGGCACGTGTGCGTGCGTGCCCAAGATCCCGAGAGGAGAATGGAGAAGAAGGGATTGCGGCGTGACCATCCCCCCTGGGGGGTGATTTCTCGCTTTCTGTCTCTATGTCTCTCTCTGTCTGTCTGCCGAGCGCACACACCCTATAGCGAAAAAACCTCTCCAAAAAAAAAAAAAAAATGTTAGCACAGTAGCATGGCTTGTTTCAAGGAGGCACAATTGAGGTGTGGGGACTATCTGCTTCTTATAACTGGCAAGTCCATTTGTAAGTTACTGGAATATAAATTAAAACTGTTCAGAAGATTGGAGTAGCGTGTGCCATTTCCATGGGATTCCTTCAACAACCCGAGAGCGTTTTAACTGTTGTGGGAGAGCCGAGAGTGCCCCTGTGGAAACACTGGGTTTTCTTTCTCTTTTTATTTCTCCAGGAGTTAGTCTACTTTCACCCGTTAGAACAGCAAAGCCGGGTCCGTAGGCTTAAGAAAAATAAATAAATAAATCTTAGGCTATTAGCAGCTGATGACTGAACAATGTAATCTGTGTAGTGAATAGAGCCCTTCTGAATTATTATATAGTACATGGATTTTCAACATTATAGACAGGCCATATAAAACCAGTTGCAATTCAAGGGTGTGATGTTATAGCCCCGCATCATAAGTCGGACTTTCACAATCGAGGCTTACAAAGCCCCCTTCCCTAGTGTCTCCACAGCTGGCATTCAACGGTGCTTCACCTCGAACTAAACCACCTTTTATTCGCCCCGATTATTAAAAACATTAAATCAGGCACATTAAAGATCTCCTGATTACTGTTTTGTGAAAAGTGAGAGTCAAATGAACTCCAGCTGTGGGTTATGGGCAAGTGAAGCCATGGCTAGATCCACGTTTTTGAGGTTTGCTTTTGTTGTTGGGTGTGTGTGTGTGTTTCTTTAAATGTTCTTCTCCTCTTCCCATGCAGTGCTAATGGGGGTGGGGGACTCAAAAGGAAGGGGGAACATGGAGCCCAAGAAAAAGTGGAAGCGGGGGTGGGGCGTAGATTGGGCATTCAAGCCAGTGGGCCAAGAGGAAGAGGAGAGGTGGTGAGGTGCTTGGCAGCTGTATTTGGCTATCGATGGATCTTGGAACAGTGGTGGGAAAGGCTGTGTGTTTATCTGGGATCTTGGTGACATCCCAGCACAAACTCAACATGAGTTATGATGTCATCACATTTCCTACCCAATTACCTTGGGTCTGTCTTCCTTGACATCTAGGGATGCCTCCTTTTGGCTAAAAGCTCTGCTCCGGTTTAACAAGAGTCAATGTGTCAGGCGAAGGGTTGGACTGATGAGAATGAAACTACAACTATATACAGAAAAGGTTCAATTTATAAACAAGTTACGGTACCAGAAAATTGGAGAAAAGCACCAAAGCATTTCCCAAGCTGATAGATATTAATTGCATAACTCCCTTTTTTTCTTATATAACTAAGTATAAAAGACAACATTTCCAGAATAACTATAAAAATGAAAGCCAGTCTTTGAAGGGCTGAGACGTATTCCAGGTGTGAGTTAATTCTAAAAATGCCCTTAAAAGAAAGGACGCATGGTCTGCTACGGCTCTTCCGGGAGGCAAGGGCTACCCCATGCATTTTAAAGAATCGGATTCAGATCTGTTCTGTGAGTGGTGAGCTGACTGAGGGTGGAGCTTCCTACGACCTCGCTGACCGATGAGGAAGTGGTGATGGTGTTATGTTGGATGACTTGATGCTGAGAGCAGGCTGGGACAGGACTTGCTGGAGGGCTGCTCTCCGGACCTAGGGAAAAACACACACAGGCACACACCAATATAGCTCTTTCTTGTGTGGACTTGCAACTGCTCAGAGAGAGAGTACTCGACATGTAAATGAAGTAGAAGAGGTTCACACATTTTCTTCCGGACATTAATTTATTCTAAACTGCTGTCACAAAGCTATGCCTTCCCGGTTTATAGCTACGAGCAAAGCCATGCTTTCTATCTCAGCAGAATCATCTGATGTGTTTGAGTCCTGTATTTTCAAGTAGCCATCCATACGTCAAATGTGGAAAAATACTCACATGTGGTGGGAGAATCTGTGTTGCTCAATCTAAAAAATCATTTGAAAATAAATTGACCTTCAGCCATGAATTTCTAGTCCTCCCACCATCCCCTCCTCCACTAGCATTTAACTTATTAACATTCCAGGTGCAGGAATTGGGGTTTAGAAAAAGGGATCCACTTTACCTATTGGTAAACTGAGACCTGGTCATTAGCTTTTCAGCCTGGTGAGTAACATGCAGTGTATCCTGAGGCACTGGCTATGATTCACCCCCTCTGTTTCCCAGCCCACGGGTTTCTCAAGAAAACTGCTAGGCCACTAGTAATTGGTTTCCAACAGGCTGTTTTCTTACTGGCTGCAAAATTAGAATTTGGTAGAATTTTACAACGTGGAAGGCCAGGGAAAGTATAGCAGCAAACCACCAGGAGGTGGTGGGCATGGTGTTAGACAAGGGTCAGGAAAGAGGGATCCACCGGTAGAATAGTTTGGTAACCAGGCAAGAATTCTAGTATGATATGTGCCTGGGTGGGCATTTTGCTTTTGCTCTTTCAATACATTTCAAGGCAAAAGTAGTGGCAAAAGAATTCGACGCTAAGGAAAGCCAAAAAGTTGGTGACTTACTTAGATACCCCTGCGATTCCTTCTGCATGGCTGTTATTGGACAGTCTTTATGTGTTAACAACAGCTGTTTCAGCTGGGCCACTTCGTTTTTCAACATGGACACTTCATTCTGGAAAGAGATATTTTAAAGCCATATTGAGAAGACCAGATAATACAAACCCAAAGCCCCATGCACTGTCAGCAATAAAATAGGCAGGCTTCCATTTTTTCCCTCCATTTAATTAATTCATTTATTTTGACAACCAAATCCAGGGTATTTCCGTACATCTTTTCCTTTTTGGAGATATATGAATGGTGTTAAAAATATTATTTGGTGGGGCTCAACTGAAAATTTTATGATGTCTTCCATTGGGCCCTCACACTTACCAGGAGACTAGTTTTCTCTGGTGAGCTGGACCCTGTGAAAAGGTCACATATCATACCCTCAGATGATGGGTTCTACTGCTGGGGTAAGAAGGTGACAATGGCCACTCCACCCTGGGCAGGTATCATAATCCTGCTTAGCTCCAGAAATCCATTTATGAAATGGGGTAAAAACAGTGCAAAAGTCTTTGGATGGTTGTGAGTGAGGAGTAATAGAAGTAAACACTTAGAACAATGCCTAGCACATACCAAGCACTCAATAAATCATGTCCATCTGCCTGATGCCACTTAGTAGCAGGCCTAGAAGCACATGCTACAACTGTCGGTCCCTTACTGGTGGGAGGCAGGAGGCAATGGCATTTGGGGCCATGACTGGATTAGCTTGATCCATGAATTAACTAGTCTCGCTAATTTCAGTCCAGAAGTTCTTTTCTCCCTTAATATTAGGGTGATGTGGATTGTGGGGTTTCTTTCTTATTTACTTAGATCTAAGTGCCTCATGTCTTGATGCACTAATTCACAAAGGCACGCCTCTAGCTTTGTAGAATATTATACTTGGCACCCATTGTCTAAAAATATAAATGTAGCATAGTTGGTTGGCTCCCAGGTGCTTCCACTTGATAAAAGCAAATGTAAACAGAGTGTTATCTTGAATAAGCCATTTTAAAATTGTGATAATTAATACCCTCTGTCTGGCCAAGGTTCATTCGTGACTGCCAGGCATTATACTTCATGCATCAGAAACACACACACACACACACACACACACACACACAAAGAAAGGAGTGTTTAACATTGCTGTCATTAAGTCTTCTCTACACTTTCAGTATGAACTTGGCTTTTCAGGCATGTAAGGGTTGTCTGAAAAGACACGACGCATTTTTGCATAGAAAAAGACTCATGACTTTTCCAACGACCTGATATTTATCATCTAAGAAAGTAAGCTCACAATTCTAGAAGTTACTTTTAAAAAAAATCAACCCATGGGAACCAGCAGTTAGCGTAATGGCTATGTCACTGGACTCCCACGTAGTCGACCGCGGTTCGTGTCCCGGACCCGGTGGCTTAAAACTCACGCCGGGCACGTGTGCGTGCGTGCCCAAGGTCCTGAGAGGAGAATGGAGGAGAAGGGATTGCGGCGTGACCATCTCCCCGGGGGGTGATTTCTCGCTTTCTATCTCTATGTCTCTCTCTGTCTGTCTGGCGAGCGCACGTGCCCTACAGTGAAAATCTCTCCAAAAAAAAAAAAATAATGAACCTTAAACATTATCTTTCATTTCTGAATTCAGTGTAAGGCATTACATTTAGAGTAACATCAATAACAAAGTGATACAAATCTTATCTACGAAAATTGTTTCCTTTCTCCTCCAAACTTTACAAAATAAAAATGTCTATTTAATTAGCCTTAATGATGAATAAATCGCTTAATTGCACAGTAAAATTGCTCCTAAATTTGAGGACATTCATGAAGGTGAATGGCACCTCCTGCCTCCAAATGGGAGTCCTATGTTTCATAAGAGGGCATGTTCTCACACCTGTTGTGCTTCCAGTTCTTATCGGAACAGATTCCAAAGTAACATTTATAGTTTAATTTTAGAATATTTTGGATGTCCATGCATGTGTCTATGTTGTGGAGAGAGCATCTGGGGGGGCTTCCTCAGATTTCGTTAAGGGGACTTCGTCTTAGGCAAGGTCAAGAATCACTGCCCTGGAGAAAGAAGAATGAATGGTGTGTTGTGTACATGCATGGCCACCTTAAGGATTCCATTTCAGAAGACTGGCTGATGTAGCGAAGGCACAGGTGCTAGACTACATTTTAAGTAAAAACCCTTTTCAAGGGAACATAAGTTGAATCACCTTCAACTCATTTCAGAACGACCTGATAGCAAATGTTTCAAAATGCATGAAAGGAATCAAATGTGGCCTGCAAGTCTAACAGGGAAATAAAATCCAGGGTTTCTGGAGGCATTTTCTTTTTCTCAATGACCTTGCTTTATGAATAGGAGAAAATCACCCATTTATTTATTTATTTTTCTAATTATCTTACATAGGTCGTTGCAATAATAGTTCTGGGTCTTAGTATAAAAGTACTTTGCAAACACAAAGTATTAATAGTAAGTGTTGGTTCTTTCGCTGAAATTGACCCTTCCTTTTTCCATTTTTCTACACTAATTTGCGTTTGCTACTCTAAGGCAGTTACCCACTTCAATAGAGAGTGTAAGAGGGTAGATTCAGTTGGATTGATCTATTTTTAAACCCCTCAATCTGCTTTGGGATGAAGTAGCACCCCATAGAGATATTCAATACTACAATAACATACTTTAAGTAAGCACTCCAAGAAGTCCCTAATCGCTACATTTGCAGTTTTTGGCTTTAGGGACGTCATTTTGTTATATGATAAATGTAGAATGCTTTTTGGTGTAAGCAGTAGTTTGTGCCAAAGAAATAATTATCAAAATGGGCCCTACAGCCTCCCTCCCCCTGTGGATTAGCTGAGGCCAGGTTTGGTTCACGCTGAAACAAAGGACTTTTAATTTGTCAAGCAACAGTTCCCATCTGGCCTATTCTCTTGCCAAGTCCTAGACCTGGGTTTTTGTGTGTCTAAAATTTCAGCAGCAACTTAGACCATGTGTCTTTGCACTAAAAAAGAAAAGCAATTATTTCTATGGGTGACCAGATGATTTCCATATCGTCTACTGAACACAAATGATCTACTGAGTACATCAGCAGTTGAAGAATTTAGAGCTGACTAGACATTCTGTATTGGAGAAAAGAATGTGGATGTGGATTCCTTTATTTTTAAGGGCTTTTTAGAATGGAAGATCACAAAGTAGTGGGGTAGATCAACAAGAGACTTGCTAGACTCCTCATTCTGTTACTTATGGGGCACACTCTTCGTTTCCCTGAACCTCGGTCTCTTCCTATATAAATGTCAGATTGGGGCCAGCTACAGTGGCAGTGGTAACACAGTGCTCCACAATGCTGAGACCATGTGAAGGTCCCGTGTCCAGGTCTTGAGGTCTCCCACGTACATGCAGGGCACAAGTGCACACATGCCCATGAAAGTGACTGACAGAGGCTTGGGAGGGGATTTTGGCATGAAGACCCTATTGGGGATGCCTGTCTTCCTCATGGAAGAAAAAAAAATGAATCCAAATGTCATTTCAAAAAATAAATAAAAGTGACATTTCCAAAAAAAGTCATTTCAAAAAATAAATACAAATGACATTTAAAAAAATGTCAAATTGGGTGGTTTCTAATATTTCCCCCAATTCTTATACCTGTGTTGACCTCTTGGGCAAAGATATGTTGTGAGACTACGAAATGAAGTCTGGGAGTTTGATTTTGTTTTCTTAAGTCTGGTTTTTCCAACCTGAAACTCTGCAGCCTAACTAGAAGGTTCTATGCGGGAAAACAACTCAAAGGTGGCAGCTGGCCATCCAGACCATGGATATTCCGTTTGGCTGGAGTTTGTTTGCTTAGCACCTTCCATTTCTATTTACCTAAAGTTTGGCGCAAAGGATCAGCCTCAAGAGAGACACCTTTTTCTTTTGACAGAGGTCCAGTGAGAGGGAAAGGGTCATTTAAAGGTAGCAGAACCCACGGCATGTCTCCAGCACCACAGGGCCTGAGGTGGAGCACGCATCATCACAGAAAACACTGATCAGTTGTGGCTTCTGTCCCTCTGAGGCAAAGCAGTGGCTGAAATAATTATAATCACCAATAATTGAGTCTTTCCAGAGACTGCTCCTTCTTGGGACACAGATTTAACAACCCAAAATTCCAGGGTCCATTGCATGGACTCAGTAGGATTTTTTTCCCCCTGGTTTTTGGGAACTAGAGTCCTGGTGTCTCTTTTCCTTAACCATTTATTTCTAAAGAAATGTATAATAAATTTTTTAAAAAGTCTATGAGTGGGCCAGATGGAGATGCAGTGTTAAAACAGTAGGTTGTATGAGGCTGACACAGGAAAGCTTCTGAGTTTACATCTGGAAAAGTCCCTGAGTACCACAGGCATATGAATGCCCTTGATCTGGGGCTGGCTGAAGCAGGGGGTGGATCGTGGCATCGAGACTTGTTGGTGTTGCTGTTTCTGTCTCTCTCGCTCATGGGAGATAGAAGTAAGTAAACAGAAATGCTTTCCTAAAACACAAATGGATAAGAGCTAGTAAAGGTAAATTTACTCTATGTGTTTAGTAAAAGCAATCATAAGTATGTATTCATACTCTACGATCAGGGTGGATACTGTGAAGTAATTCTGTGAAGGTTAATGCCAGTTAAAACTGATTTAAGGACTTGCTGGCCTCTGAGATGTGTCAGTTGCCTATTCATGGTCCCTTTATCTAAGGCAGTGGGTCTCTACTGGGCCAGTTTTGTACCCTACCTCCACCATTGGCTAACCACAGGAGATTTGGCAACTTCTGGAGTGACTTTTTGGGTATCACAGCTGGAAGGAGAATATGCTCCTGACATCTAGTGGGTAGAAGCCAAAGATGCTGCTATCCAATAAATACCCTGCAATGAACAGGGCATAACAAAGAATGATTGGGCTCCAAAGTCAATAATGCTGGAACCAGCATGTGGCATAATGGTTAAGGCACTGGGCTCCCACATGGTCAACAGCCATTCAAATTCCAGGCCCAGCAGCTTAAAACTTGTGCCGGGTACATATGCATGTGGGCCCAAAATCCTGAGAGGAGAAGGGATTGAGGTGTGGATATCCTCCCCTAGGGTGGTGATTTTTAGCTTTCTGTCTCTTTTTTTCTCTCTGTCTCTCTGACGAGTGCATGCATGTTACAACAAAAATCTCTGGGGGAAAAAAAAAAAAGAAAGAAAAAGAAAAAAAAGAAATAATGCCAAGATTGAGAAAACCTCCAGCACACTTCAGAAATTATATCAAATTGTTGGGGGTGTCCAGCTTCAACCATTGCCGAACCACTCCTGCGATATTTATAGTTCCACAGTTATCAGAAATTCTATTTATTCAACATCTATATGCAAATTAACTCATTTTAATGATTTAGCCTCAACCTCACCAATTATCTCTGTTAAATTGCATATTTAATGTTCTAATTATACTTTTTCAAAACACATCAAAATAAACATTTGACTATTGACATGAAAAATGTGTATGCATGTTCTACCTAAAAGTCTCTCACATACTTCTGTGTCTGCCAGATTCCAGGACTGGCTTTAAAGGCATTTGCATCCAGCCATTCTTCTGTGGCTTGATTCCCTGCAATCGTATCCTTGCCAAATAGTCAAGCAGTTTTTGGACTCTCCAACAATGGAGAGTTCATTCATTTAATTCAACACATAGTTACTGAGTGTAGAAACTGTATTAGAAACAAGACAGATAGTGGGGGTTGGCGTAATAAGACACAGCCCCAACCTTCCTGTAGCGTAGAAGCTAGTGGGGGCATCATTATGCCCCAATCTGCTATATGCTTCCCAGTTTCTTGCTTATATTTCTCACAAAAAGAATGATACCTTTCAGGAGAGAAGCTAACATCCATAAATTATGAAATTCAGCTCGTGTAGAACCCAAACTTTCCTTGCACATTTTTAATACTGGATGCAAGCCCATTTCATTGTAATGAAATTGAAAATACAAAGACTCTGGGGGGTTATTACCTAAGGATGCACAGAGAACCAGATCGGGGGGAGAGGATGGGGTGACTATGAATGGTTAACCGGGTAATGTGCAGTTTCTCCATTTCGGGCACATTACCCATAGCTTCTACTCCTCAGCCATTCGCTGAGCTCCTGGAAGCACTGAACTATACATAACGACTGTTACTACTGTTGGTCACATGTCTATTCAGTGGCTTTTTTTCTGCTGGTGAAGAGTAACCTCTCTTGTATGTTGGAACACATGCCCTGAACTGCATCATCTTTATGACATGAAGTCTGCTGGAAAAGCCCTGGGTACTAGATTTTCTTCCTCTTGTCTCATATGCTTCAAGAACTGGCTTCCTTATCAAAATATGCCCATGGGACCGTACTATGGTACAACTTGATGCTCAGCATGACTGGCCCACATGGGAAGATTCCTGGTTAGTGTCTAGAGTCCTTGTTGGGCATACGGAGCACATGTGTGCCCGTGATCCACGGCTAAGGCTGGAATGGATGGCCGTGGCAAGACCCTATAGGGAGCATTTATATCTCTTTGTCTTTCTTTCTCATTCATGGATAAAAGAAAGAAGCTTTAAATAAATAAATAAAACATCTTCAGTTAAGCCACCCATGCAAAGCAATAGTTATAAAAGATTCAAATCTTGCTAAGTTTGAAAATGAAATGGAAATATGCCCTTTGTTTCAGAGCAAAATAATAACCCAAATCCTTTCTTTCTCCCATTAAATGAAACTAGAGATAACCCAGAATAAGCTAAAACAACACCTGTCAACCCCGTGAATATAAACATCTGCTTTTCGATTGAAGGTTTATGATGTGCCAGGCATGGTACTAAATGTTTTGTAGGTCTTAGGTCATTCACGCCTCCTAGCAACTCTGAAGATATTATTCTCACTTTATAGATGAAAAATCTGAGAGCCAAAGAAGTGAAACAGAGAAAGCAATTGCTGAAAAGAAAGATTGAATCTCTGTCTGGTCAAAGTCTGCATTCTCAGTCCTAGACTTAGCTGGGCAGGTCCTTCTTCCTCAGAGCTTTGTAAGCAGATTGAAATCGGAATGGTTTACTTTGTTTTGTGGAGTGTCTCCAAATTTAAAAAGTTGGAGGAGTAGACCTGCAGTTCCTCTGTGGGCTAACTGTGCGATATCACGGCTTAGGCCACCAAGCGCCTGGGGCAGGAAAGTGCCAGGGCCTTGGAGTCCTTGAGGAAGGAGACAGCGGGCTGCACCTGAAGCTGCATGTTTGTCTGGGTGAGTTCTTCTGCTTTCTTTTCCAGTGACATCACCCAGACCTTCCTCTTCTGTCTGCAGCGGGTGGCAGCTGCCCGGTTCCGTTCCAGAAATTTCCGCCGCCTCTCATCGGGATCCTCATCTACCACCCTTCGCCGGCGCCCCCCTGTGGGCTGGGGCGGCTGTATTGTCTGGGTGGGCTGCATCTGTTGTGTTGCTGGTGAGACCTGCTGGGACAGAGAGGGCGGGGGCGATGAGGATCAGAAGGACACGTTGGGTAAGAGTGTTCACATGCAAAGCACAGGGAGTCAACTGCTTTAGTAAGCATATCAGATGTGTTTCCTATGAATGAAATGAACAATGAAATCATTCTCACGAATGAAGAGAAAAGGTATCACTGAGCTATATGCTATAATATTTTAGCAAGATATGCAATTGACTTGGGAGAAGATGCAGTCAGATGGATTTTTGCCTGACAGGCATTCAGCCAAGTCACAGTAGAGAGAGCATCTTTTTTCTCCTTCCAGTGTTCCTATGTTTTATTTAAGGTGCATTTAAGATTACTCTACCATAGCTGCTGTATGGTGATAGGTTAAAAACAGAGAAGTCAGGGGTATTGCCACCATACTGAGGAGTCATCCGCTGCAGAAAAACTCCGGGCAGCTGGTAGGCTCTCTTCATTCTCATGGTGTTAAAACCATGTCCCTAGAACACACCTCTGGGACATGATCACCACTGTGATTCCTATCAAAAGAACACCACGAAACTGGGAAAGCAGTTGAAATCGTACTTTGATTATGACTGTTTCACAGTTCTGAATGCAGAAGACTAGCTGGGCCTGCCAACTCCAGATAGAAGGCCTGAGCCTCAGAGCTCAATGGCGGAGAGTTACAGGAGAACTTTCTAGGTGACTGGGAAGCAGGGACTTTGAAAGGGTACAATGAATGCCCCGGGCAGCCCTAAGCTCTTTTCACATACTGCGTGTGTGAGATAGTGAGGGATAGTGTTGCATTACTGTATACTTACATTATAAGGAAATCCTAGGAGTGGCAAAGAACTTTATTAAAAAAGTTTTACTATGCTTATAGATGCCTTGTAAGGTCTATCTGGCACTCAGTAACATCTAAGGGTGGAGAGACCCCCACACATACAGCTTCATTTCCCTTCATAAGGCAGACACACAGCACCTTGTGAAATTTCTATGACCTACTCTTTATATGTCTGGGTACCTACTGCTTTCCCTAATGCACTGCACTCCTTCCTCCTTCTTCATCTCAATAAAGTCAATACAGGCTTTTTTTTAATTTTTTTTTTCCTGTCTCTCTCTTCCATTTCTCAATCACTCTGGTTTATGGTTGTAATACCTATAAACTTGTTTTACAGGAGACATTTAACCTGCAGAAATAACAGGCAAAAAGTTTTAAAAATGAAGCCCAGCAACCTTCTCTACCACATTTCAACCCTACGATTGAAATCAATCAGAGTGACTGTAATTGCACTCACAGAGCTACTGGTTGACATCAGCTGACTGATGGTGATACATTTTAATCCCAAACTCTATCGAACCTCATGTGAGTAACTGTAAAAGAATCAAGCCTGGGATTGAGGTCGGCCTGCAGCTCACTAATTTTATTTAAAGCAAGACACTTTCTAAAACTGTTTGTTGGCAATTCCTTGCCTCCCAATCATAGAGGAATAATAAAATAAATTAATCGTCTAAGGTCTTACTCATCAGAGTGGCTGGCGAAGACGTAATCCTTGTTATTGCCAAAAGATTGAGCATGTGCGTTTTGATGCTCACTCTTGAGCTAACCAGTGCAAAGGCAAGCATTAAGCATGAACGTGCTAAAGGCTTGGCTATTTTTGCTTTCACCTTTTTCAGTTTACGAAATCAGGATCTCTTATTGCCAGCTCTAGATAAGACTCTCAAGTGGACAAAACTGGTTATTAATCTCTGTTGTAGGGACCTCACTTTCAATTCTGTATCCTCCTACCCTAACTTCGATCAATCTTTACGTAACACTTCTTCCGTGGCTTCACGCAAAGTGGTAAGCAATGTGGTTTCAGGTGCAGTATAGGTTCAGGGTTTAAAGAATGAGTTGGTTAAGAGAAATTCCTGATGATCATGAAGTGAAATCGGGACTCTAAAATCACATCCTTAAACGCAGGAGAAATCAATAATAAGCCAAGAGAAGTTGCAAGTTCAACTCTGAAACCAACATTTGTGTTCCTGATAATTATTGTTACTTGCCGAGTTATTTCTAGAATGAAATTCTCTTAATTTTGATTAAAAATAATGAATCGAGATTTCAAAACCACAAAATTTATTACAAATCATCTTGGCCTTTCAGAGTTGGAAAGACCTTAAGAAATCTATTCTGACTGTTGGGGCAATCATAAAATTGAACAATATGACAGGATCTGGGTAATCAGCCAGATTAATATAATTTAAGGGTGATAGTTTAGAACACTGTCTCAATGATCTGATTCAAATTTTTAACAAGTCCAACCCAGACTCTTGCTTTTTAGTATGCGATAAAAAAGCAACTGTTCCTGTAGTTAATTATGATAGCAATGAAATAATTGCATATACAATTGGCCACTTACTGACTTGAAACAGTGCAATGGACTAATTAGTCATTAGCTAATGAATGGCTTTTATATTCAAAGAACTGTTAAACTTGTCTGTGAAATAACTTGCCCACAAAGGCAACCAAACCTTGATCTCATTTTCCTTAAAACTGTCAGCACATACCTGAATCAATTTGCCTACCTTTAATTTTATAGTCCCCCCTGCCTCCTTATAAATACATGTCTCAGTATGGCATTTGACTAAAAAGGCTATCATGATTTGAAAACTGAGCCATGGACTTTTCAGGGATTCTCTTAATACTCGAGGAGCCTGAGAACTTAGTCTATTATTACCGCAATGTTACAGATGGGAAAACGAAGGTCCAGTAAGGTTTAGGGAGGTTACTCCTCTCTGTCCACAGCCAGAGACAAAGTGGGAAATGAGTTAACACGTTTGCACTTTGAAGCTCCACCAACCTTTCACTATACAGGACGCCGTGAAGGACAAAGTAAGCTTATCTAAAATACCAAGAGCTAGTTGTGAGGGAGCCATTTGATGATACCCGGGTTTGAGTGTGTCAAGGGAGGGGAATACCTATAAACTTGTTTTACAGGAGACATTTAACCTGCAGAAATAACAGGCAAAAAGTTTTAAAAATGAAGCCCAGCAACCTTCTCTACCACATTTCAACCCTACGATTGAAATCAATCAGAGTGACTGTAATTGCACTCACAGAGCTACTGGTTGACATCAGCTGACTGATGGTGATACATTTTAATCCCAAACTCTATCGAACCTCATGTGAGTAACTGTAAAAGAATCAAGCCTGGGATTGAGGTCGGCCTGCAGCTCACTAATTTTATTTAAAGCAAGACACTTTCTAAAACTGTTTGTTGGCAATTCCTTGCCTCCCAATCATAGAGGAATAATAAAATAAATTAATCGTCTAAGGTCTTACTCATCAGAGTGGCTGGCGAAGATGTAATCCTTGTTATTGCCAAAAGATTGAGCATGTGCGTTTTGATGCTCACTCTTGAGCTAACCAGTGCAAAGGCAAGCATTAAGCATGAACGTGCTAAAGGCTTGGCTATTTTTGCTTTCACCTTTTTCAGTTTACGAAATCAGGATCTCTTATTGCCAGCTCTAGATAAGACTCTCAAGTGGACAAAACTGGTTATTAATCTCTGTTGTAGGGACCTCACTTTCAATTCTGTATCCTCCTACCCTAACTTCGATCAATCTTTACGTAACACTTCTTCCGTGGCTTCACGCAAAGTGGTAAGCAATGTGGTTTCAGGTGCAGTATAGGTTCAGGGTTTAAAGAATGAGTTGGTTAAGAGAAATTCCTGATGATCATGAAGTGAAATCGGGACTCTAAAATCACATCCTTAAACGCAGGAGAAATCAATAATAAGCCAAGAGAAGTTGCAAGTTCAACTCTGAAACCAACATTTGTGTTCCTGATAATTATTGTTACTTGCCGAGTTATTTCTAGAATGAAATTCTCTTAATTTTGATTAAAAATAATGAATCGAGATTTCAAAACCACAAAATTTATTACAAATCATCTTGGCCTTTCAGAGTTGGAAAGACCTTAAGAAATCTATTCTGACTGTTGGGGCAATCATAAAATTGAACAATATGACAGGATCTGGGTAATCAGCCAGATTAATATAATTTAAGGGTGATAGTTTAGAACACTGTCTCAATGATCTGATTCAAATTTTTAACAAGTCCAACCCAGACTCTTGCTTTTTAGTATGCGATAAAAAAGCAACTGTTCCTGTAGTTAATTATGATAGCAATGAAATAATTGCATATACAATTGGCCACTTACTGACTTGAAACAGTGCAATGGACTAATTAGTCATTAGCTAATGAATGGCTTTTATATTCAAAGAACTGTTAAACTTGTCTGTGAAATAACTTGCCCACAAAGGCAACCAAACCTTGATCTCATTTTCCTTAAAACTGTCAGCACATACCTGAATCAATTTGCCTACCTTTAATTTTATAGTCCCCCCTGCCTCCTTATAAATACATGTCTCAGTATGGCATTTGACTAAAAAGGCTATCATGATTTGAAAACTGAGCCATGGACTTTTCAGGGATTCTCTTAATACTCGAGGAGCCTGAGAACTTAGTCTATTATTACCGCAATGTTACAGATGGGAAAACGAAGGTCCAGTAAGGTTTAGGGAGGTTACTCCTCTCTGTCCACAGCCAGAGACAAAGTGGGAAATGAGTTAACACGTTTGCACTTTGAAGCTCCACCAACCTTTCACTATACAGGACGCCGTGAAGGACAAAGTAAGCTTATCTAAAACACCAAGAGCTAGTTGTGAGGGAGCCATTTGATGATACCGGGGTTTGAGTGTGTCAAGGGAGGGGGGGCTCAAGTGAGCAAAAAGCTGCCTGGTGTGAGGTCTCGCCTGCAGGGGCAGACGGTGGAGGAGACGGTGAATAAGTCTTATTTGGCGGCCCATGCTTCCGACACCATTCTGACCCAGCTGGCTGGAAGCTGGCAGTAGACTGGGTGGAGGGCACTGACAGGTCATCCTGGTTGGGGATCCAAAGTCGCTAGGGCTAGCCATGCTCCTGGGACATGCCCTTCATCCACTTACTAAAACCCTGGTGCCCGGACTCGCCTCTCTCTTGGCCTGGTGACATAATGTCTGCCTAGTCCCCCAACCCTCTTTCAGTTTAGTTTAAATGCTGGCTTTCTTTCTAGACACTCCTGGTGACTCTCCACCCAGGGGATTTGGCCTTTCTTTTGGTCTGATCATCTACAGAGCTTGGCTCGCTCTCTGCTCCCTCCGACACATTTCACAGCGTTTCACATTCGGTGCGATGAGTCACTTCTCCTCACCATTTACACAGCACCTTACACCCTGCAACCCTCACCAAGCTTCTTTGTCTGCCCTGAATTGTTACTCCTTGGATTTTTGACATGTACTGTTCCTTAGAAGAGTGTCCATTATATTTCACTTCTATTTCACAGGTGACAAAGTTGGGTCTCTATAGTGTTATGAAATACAGCAGCTAGAACCAGAGCTAGAATAAACTTTTTTTTTTTTTTCCTGCATACACATCTTCCTTCATAAGCTTTGGTTTTTCCTAGTCTTCCCATTGGCATTACTTTTTTGGGGGTTTAACTTTGGAACACACTGCAAAAACAGATGTTTGGGGAACTGAACGTTCCTATTTGGCTCTAGGGACAGGGCCTGAAATGTACTATAACATTTACAGAAATCGCTATGTGGTAGGCTCTTATGAGTAATCATCACCTCCTAGGAAGTAAACAGAACTCCCCGGAGTATCAGATAGAACACGAGGGGTTCATCATAAGAGTTTTTGCAAATGACCCCAATAGTGGAGCTTGTACTGTTAACAAGAACAAGGAAGGGGAAAGAGATCATGGAAGAGATCTACCTGTGCTTGGTTGCCGGTGTGCAGGGGCGGGTGTGGAGAGGTCTGGTGATGTGCTGGGTGTGCATGAAGGTGGGAATGGGAGTGATGATGGGGGTGGTTTTGCTGGTGATGGGGTTGAGGGTGAGGATGGTGTGCTGGGTGCTGGTGCTGGTGCGGGTAGGGGTGATGAGGTGGCAGTGTCTGGTGCTGATGCGGGTGTGAGTGCATATGATGGTGTGGTGTCTGGTCCTGCCGGGAGCCCATCATCTCCATCATGTGTCCCATGGTGTTCATATTCCCATTTGACATGGCGGCGGGGTGGTGTGTCAATGCAGCCTTCAACCTCTGAAACAGAACAAAAGAGAGGAGTCAACTGAGGTCATGATAGGGATTTTGAAGCAAAATGATTCATATTTGTAATTCTACTCTTAACATTGTCTGCTGGTAGCAGGATTGCTTTTGTATACATTTTATATTTTCTTACATATTACGATCGGAGGGTCAATGTAAGTTATAAATGTCCATTCAACTATCACAACAAAGCTGGGGCCAGCAGTTGGCGTAATGGCTATATCGCTGGACTCCCATGTATTTGACCGCAGTTCGAGTCCCGGACCTGGTGGCTTAAACTCACGCCGGGTGCGTGTGTGTGCATGCCCAAGATCCCGGGAGGAGAATGGAGGAGAAGGGATTGTGGCGTGATCATCCCCCTGGGGGCGATTTCTCACTTTCTCTCTCTCTTTCTCTCTCTCTCTGTCTTTCTGGTGAGTGCACGCACCCTATAGCAAAAACCTCTAGGAAAACAGACAAACAAACAAAACAAACAAAAAACCTATCATAGCAACTAGGCCAGATATCCTATCAAGACATATATGTTACTAAAAAGTATTTTCTACTATTCAATCATTCTTCCTATTGTATCTACAGCCAAATGTGGTATAAGCCAAGTAGAACTATTCAATACAGTGAGGCCACTCAACTAAGAGCCTACATCTGGTATGGCACTGTGTTTTGTAAGAGGCACAAGAGCAAAATAGTGTGTGTCAAAATACTTCTCAGACACAAACAAGAAATAACTTCAAATTTGAAAATGTAAGAAGAGTCGTAATGTGATTTAGAGGTTCAAATCAGCATTGGTAATCCATAACTTTTGGAGACAAGATGTAGGTTTTTCCTCTTTGCTGCCATGCTCCTTCTCACGGTCCCTTCAGATAATCTCATTTTTCTCTCACACTCACCTTCTCTGACTTTGAGAAGGGAGTAATACAAATAAAAGAATAGGGGCTATTGCACCTCTTTGGGGGCCATGTCAACAGGCTGGATATATCTCCAACCCAAATTGGAATGATTATTTAGGGACAGAAATCTGAGTTTCATATCATTTTCACATGTCGTGAAATGTTATTCTACCTTTGATTGATTTATTTCCAATCATTTGAAATGTGAAAACCACTGTGAGCGTCTGTCTTGTACAAAATTTGGCAATAAGCCAGATTCAGTTCCTGGACCACTGTTTGCTAACCCCATTTTAAAGGATCGGTTGCTAATTAGCTTGGTCCAGTTTCTTCAAAATTATGTTCCCTTTCACACAGGCAGTCATCACCATGTCCTGAGGGGCACGGCGTGCTCAGTACCGCATAATGCAGTTACCCCTTGGAAATGTATCTTAGGCAGGGAAGACCGTCTAACTGGCCGGCTCACATCGGCTTCATCAAGTATTTACTACGGACTAAAGTTCTCTTCTGATTTGTGTTCTTATCTGATTGGTGATAGTGGTGGGTAATCACTGAGAAAGGAAAGAGTTGTTCTTAAGTGGTGATCAAAGCCATCCCGCTGTAGCCCTGTGCAATAGTAATGATTTTCCAACTTGTTCAACTACTGACAATTATCCATTTAACTAGTTAAACCCAAAGAGCCTCCACTGGTAGAAAAGCAAAAAGAGGGAGGGTTGGCTGACCACGGTAGATCATGTCAGACAATCACTGAAAATGCTTTCTGCATCCTGATTCACTCCCCATTTGTCTCCATTTTTGAGAGCAGCAACCACTGGTACTGCTCTTCATTCTGATCATCCTGGCGAAGAGACGCTGCTTATCTCTGGGGGTGATTAGATGCTGGCTATCATGGTTACTACCAAACAGAGAAGTGAACTCATACTTTTTATACCCAATTTTCAGAAGTGTGTGTGTGTGTGTGTGTGTGTGTATGTGTGTGTTTTATAAAAGTGCTTATTCTCAAAAAATGTAAGCAATGCTCAAAAATGCAATGAAGTCAGCAATAAATAAGCCAAATGTGTTGCTTGTATTTGGAGGGCGAACAGCATTCCAGACAATTCTATATCTGCCTAAGTAGAGATGGATGAACAACTAGAATAAGATAAAATGGTGGAGTCATGATACCACGTAATTTAAAAATAACACTTTTATTTGACTATGGCATAGCAAAGAAATGAAAATTAATCACTGAGTTCAGATACGCGTGTTTTTAAATACAAAAAAGTTTTCAAGTTATATCTCTAAACTTAGGGGTGAAAAAAAAGTATGGAAAAAGATTATGTTGCAATTAGTATGGCTTTTTAAAAAATTGATATATTGGATAGTATTGGAGATTTTTTTTTTTCTGTTTTATTTATTAAATTTCCAAGAGGGTGTGTGTGTTTGCTGGGAAGAAAGGAGAAAAAAAGGAAAAGTGAGAAAGCAACCCCTATGGAGGTTGGTCATGATGCGATCCCTTCTCCTCCATTTCTCCCTCCTTTCGAGATTTTTTGGGGGCATGCATGCACTCATGCATGGCCTGTTTTTCAAGCCACTGGGTCCAGTATTCAAATCGCACAGTCAACCTCATGGGATCCAGCTGATTTTACCAGAATACCATCAACTGGCCCGGGATTGATGGACTTTCTAAACTAGTCTTTGTAATTTCATTATTATAAAAGTATATAGCTGTGTAGTAAAACTTTGTTTCAAAAATCTACTCCAAGAATAGCATGTGAAAAAGCAAAAGGAACCTGCCTAGCCTTCTTCCCATAAATTCCATTCCCATTCTGCAAATGTAACAACCACCTATCCTCAGACATTTGCTTGGCACTCATATGAATACGGTTGTGCAAGCCCCCTCCCCTGCCCCCTTTATGTTTGTTTTTTGCAATATGTCATGTGTGCTCACTGGGGAGAGAGAAAGAGAAGGAAAGTGAGAAATCACCCCCCAGAAAGAACAGCCACGCTACAATCCCCTCTCCTCCATTCTCTTCTTGGGATTTTTGGGCATGCATCCACATGCACCCTGAGTATTTTCCAAACCCCTGTACAGTCAGCCACATGGGATTCAGCCCCTTGGGATCCAGCTGCCTTAACCACTACACCACCTGGCTGGCCCACAAGCTCATGTTTACCAAATGTAGTTTTGTATCCTGCTTTTTGTCACTCTAACAATGTATCTTCAAGTTCTCTCTATAACACTAAACAGAACGAATAATAATGGCTAGCATTACTTGAATACTTGCTAGGTGCCAGTCCTTGTTCTGTATGTTTCACAAGGTGCCTATTAAGTTACCTAGTACTCTGAACAAACCTGCAAGGTACAAGAGAGGAGAAACCACATGCTCAAGCTCAGCTGCTGTTGCAGGAGAGGTGCTCTACCTCCAAAGCCAGTTTCTGAATCGTCAGAGAGGGTGCCAGAAAGCTTGCCAATCATACTTTGCTAAAGACAGAATAAACATGGGGCCAGCAGGTGGCATAGGAGGTAAGGTGTTAGAATCCCACATATCAACAGGCTGGATATATCTCCAACCCAAATTGGAATGATTATTTAGGGACAGAAATCTGAGTTTCATATCATTTTCACATGTCGTGAAATGTTATTCTACCTTTGATTGATTTATTTCCAATCATTTGAAATGTGAAAACCACTGTGAGCGTCTGTCTTGTACAAAATTTGGCAATAAGCCAGATTCAGTTCCTGGACCACTGTTTGCTAACCCCATTTTAAAGGATCGGTTGCTAATTAGCTTGGTCCAGTTTCTTCAAAATTATGTTCCCTTTCACACAGGCAGTCATCACCATGTCCTGAGGGGCACGGCGTGCTCAGTACCGCATAATGCAGTTACCCCTTGGAAATGTATCTTAGGCAGGGAAGACCGTCTAACTGGCCGGCTCACATCGGCTTCATCAAGTATTTACTACGGACTAAAGTTCTCTTCTGATTTGTGTTCTTATCTGATTGGTGATAGTGGTGGGTAATCACTGAGAAAGGAAAGAGTTGTTCTTAAGTGGTGATCAAAGCCATCCCGCTGTAGCCCTGTGCAATAGTAATGATTTTCCAACTTGTTCAACTACTGACAATTATCCATTTAACTAGTTAAACCCAAAGAGCCTCCACTGGTAGAAAAGCAAAAAGAGGGAGGGTTGGCTGACCACGGTAGATCATGTCAGACAATCACTGAAAATGCTTTCTGCATCCTGATTCACTCCCCATTTGTCTCCATTTTTGAGAGCAGCAACCACTGGTACTGCTCTTCATTCTGATCATCCTGGCGAAGAGACGCTGCTTATCTCTGGGGGTGATTAGATGCTGGCTATCATGGTTACTATCAAACAGAGAAGTGAACTCATACTTTTTATACCCAATTTTCAGAAGTGTGTGTGTGTGTGTGTGTGTGTGTATGTGTGTGTTTTATAAAAGTGCTTATTCTCAAAAAATGTAAGCAATGCTCAAAAATGCAATGAAGTCAGCAATAAATAAGCCAAATGTGTTGCTTGTATTTGGAGGGCGAACAGCATTCCAGACAATTCTATATCTGCCTAAGTAGAGATGGATGAACAACTAGAATAAGATAAAATGGTGGAGTCATGATACCACGTAATTTAAAAATAACACTTTTATTTGACTATGGCATAGCAAAGAAATGAAAATTAATCACTGAGTTCAGATACGCGTGTTTTTAAATACAAAAAAGTTTTCAAGTTATATCTCTAAACTTAGGGGTGAAAAAAAAGTATGGAAAAAGATTATGTTGCAATTAGTATGGCTTTTTAAAAAATTGATATATTGGATAGTATTGGAGTTTTTTTTTTCTGTTTTATTTATTAAATTTCCAAGAGGGTGTGTGTGTTTGCTGGGAAGAAAGGAGAAAAAAAGGAAAAGTGAGAAAGCAACCCCTATGGAGGTTGGTCATGATGCGATCCCTTCTCCTCCATTTCTCCCTCCTTTCGAGATTTTTTGGGGGCATGCATGCACTCATGCATGGCCTGTTTTTCAAGCCACTGGGTCCAGTATTCAAATCGCACAGTCAACCTCATGGGATCCAGCTGATTTTACCAGAATACCATCAACTGGCCCGGGATTGA